TAAACCTAACAAGTGACAACCACGTTTATTTACTTGAAAAGAAAGACTTAAAAATTTAAAATCATAAAGAGGAGAGTTTTCTATTTGGTGGTTACGAAAAATAGACGAACTAACCTCAGCCATAGTTTGTATAGCACAAGTTAGAATAATTTGGGGCTTAACCTTGGTCAGCGTAAAGGAGTTACATTCATACGCTCAAAATCATGACTTCTCCCAAAATTCCCCCTTGTTAATTAAAAAAAAAAAAAATTGTAGCGGTACATAAAATCAAAGGCTAAAAAGTACATTGGGAAACGGAAAGGTGGCCGACCACTGGTGAAGCTATTGAAGGTGAATCTCAGCAGTTGCATAAGAAAATATGTGAGGCGGCAATGAAGATCATGAAGGCAGTGAGAGAAAACAAGTGGAGATAGCTTTTTATATTTGAATTTACTAGGCGGAGAAGGAAAGCAGTAAAATTAAGAAATGGTTTTCCTAACCATGGGGAATAAATTGTCTTTTTTATATGTAAATTAATTATAAAAGAAAATTGCATTAAAAATATATAAAAGAAAATAAGTGAAAACCATGCCGGTGACTGGGAAAACTAAAAAAAAGTAATTTGTTTTAATTAAAATTTTCTCTTATAAATTTAAAATGTGTTAAAAATTTTAAAATTAATTTTATAAATAAATTTTTAATAAGTTTCGAAAGTTAAAACTACATATCTAAGTTTTCTCAAAATTAAATAAAATTAAACAATTATATACACAACTGCCATATGTTGTAAGAAGTAATCATAATCAATTTTGACTCTAAAAAAATTTAGAGTTCTAATAATATTGTTTCATTTAATTAAAACTCAATTTAAAATTAAAAAATTCACCTTATTATTAAATGTTGATGCTTATATTTAAAATTGATTTGCATTATTCTCTTATTTATATTCTTAATCACAAAATTAAAGTTATATCACTAATGGCTATGTTTTGCTATTAACTAGTAATTTCAATTATCTATTTTGCTTTATACTGTTATTTTTTGGCTAGTCTATTTTGTAATTTTTTGTAACATACCAATAACTAGACATTTAGTTCGGTTGTGATTTTGAATTTTGAATTTTGATTTTCAAAAATTTAGAAACTCTAACATAAAATTAATTAGTTTTATAAATTAATTAAGTTTTAAGTTTTGAATATTTTACTTTAAAATTTTATATCCAATAAATTTGTAATTTTAATTTTAATTTTTGGCTTTTAATATTTAATTTTAATTAAAATCAATTTTTATTTTATTTAACAATTACTCTCTTAATTCAACTTTAGTATATTTAATTTTTTGTCTAATCAAATAAGATAAAATAATTTAGTGGTAAAATTTCATATTTATTTCTAATTAATCATTATTTAAATAAAAATTTTTATTTAGTATGGAGTATATATTATAATTATTTATTT